GGGTCTCTTTCTATCTTGTAACTGTCTCTTTCTTGTCTCATTAGAAGAATGAGAATTATTTCATTAGTCTGACATTTTAAATAAGAATCCACGTATATATATTTTTGCTTATATAACTAAGTAAAAATATTAATTTATTCTATTATACTGTATTATAAATACTAAATTAAATTTTTTATTTTTTTATGTTTTATACACACATAGAACATATTGTTTTATTCAATATTTTCTATTTAATAACGAAGATGTATTAAAAATACAAATACTTTATAAAAATGTACATATTTACTTTAAATATAGTTTAACAAGACAACAAACATATAGCGGCTATATTTGTAATAATAAGATTTATTTTAATAATAGAATGTAATTTAGTATCTTTTCAGTAAATAAATATATTTCTTATATTACTTACATACGTTTTATTAATAAACAAATAAACGAATAAAAAACTGTACTGAAAAAGTAAAAATTTAAATAAATACTTATTTTATATATGCAGTTAATAAAATAAAATATATATATATATATATATATGTATGTATTACCATAAATAGAAGTATACAATTAACTTCAGTTTAGTTAGTACACGAAAATATAATTAATTTCTTTATATTATAATTGATAAAAATTCACCAGATTGATATATTGAAAGATTTTTATTCAGTTTCAATGACTTGTGATTAGTCACTTAATTAAGAAATAATGAAAAGTAACGATTAACAAAATTTAATTCAATTATCGAAATAAGTAGTAATAAAATTTTTTAAACTATTTCAATTCGATATACTAAGATAATTTTAAAGGAGGTCAAACTTCATAATGTATTTTTGTCCATCACCGTACAAGTAGAACTAAGTATCTTTTAGATATTTTTTGACTTAAGAAACATACTTTTTAACTTCACTTTTCATATTTTATACTGAAAAATTAATAACATTATTTTGCGAGAAAAAGTGTTATATTTAGAGAGTTAAATAATATCTGTAAATTCAATGGTTAAAATAAACAAAAAGAAAATATATTATCAGTGTAAGTCATAAGTTTACATAATGAATAATTGAAATAAAGTTATAGGCGAATACAATAAAGACAAAGAAGACGATAGAGAATAGATTAACGACATATCAAATTGCAATAAAATAATGATTAACACCACGAATAGCAGTATTATAAATATATTATAATTAATATTATTATAATACTATAACAGCACTGTAGCAAAAATATTATAAATATATCGTTACTATATAATTCACATACACAATTTTCATTATAATAAAATAAATATGTTTCATCGAATCTTGCCGTGACGAGGCTAGAAGATGGATACTCACAAGAAAATTGTGCAATAATTTTATTATTTCGCAACAAATAAATAATCCATGAAAAATCCTCTTTTCTCCACGTAAAATGCGTGTGTGTGTGTGTTATTTTTCAGGTCGGCTAGACCCTTGCCATGCGATGTCGCTGCAGAGCCCGAGACTTCGACACTACAGGTCGAAAATATGCCTTAAACAACTTATCAGAACTGTTAACTGCCGAGCAGTTACAAATTCATATTCTTTTTCATTATTATCTGTTTTAACAGTATTTATATATATATTTTTTTTCCTTCATTAATTTCTTACTTTGAATTATGTATATGTAAATATAAACATATTTGTCTAAGCAACGTTTTCATTATTTTATATATATATATATATATATATATATATATATATCATTATATTTCATTGCTCATTGTTATATTACGTACATGCGTCATCATATGTCTATTGCTAAAACACGCAGAAAAATTGTATATATAAATTTATATTTATCTTATGACACAATAATATCGAATTCTCTGCATCCACGCTTTGGAATGTCGTTCATCGTTCAACTGTTGTGCGCTACATTGAGCGCAATTTATTATATTATTGCAATTATTACTATAATTATAATTATTATTAATGGTTATTGTTATTTTTTCTCCATTTTTATTATTGCTATTGTTATTATTATTATCATTATCATTATAATTATTATCATTATCATCATCGTCGTTGTCGTCGTTGTCGTCGTCGTCGTCGTCGTCCTCATCGTCATCATCGTCATCATCACCACCATTATCATTATTATTATTACTATTATTATATTTACCGTTATAAAAGTCGTTAATAAGACAATTGTCATTATTTTATTTCTATTATTATGCCAAATATTATATTTAAAAAATATTAATAATATCTTCAGCTATGTAAATAATTATCGCTACTTTCAGTGTTTGTCATTATTGTTATTATTATGATCGTCGCCACTCTTATTGTTGTAATTATTATTATTATTATTATTATTATTATTATTATTATTATTATTATTATTATTATTAATGTAAATAGATCGTATTGTATTATTGATTACGTTTATCATTTTACGCTAGAATTTAATTCGCAGACTCGAATTATCGCATTTGATAGATGGTTTGTGCAAATGTTCAGCTGAATTCTTTAAATTTATTAGCATTAATATTTTCAAGCAGTATAGTTGTTCAAATTATTTTCGATTTTCGTGCTTTTAATTGGCTCTATAAATACAAAAAATCACACTTCTAAATGCTTATGATAATATAATTTCCATATAAATAAATAGTACAATATACAATATAATATGCAGTATGTAATATCACACGATATAATTTTTATTTATTATTTTGTAAATATTAAGACACTCTTATTTTTACTAGAGTTCGTAATAATTTGTATCTAATTGAAAAGAATTAAATTGCTTTCTTAGACAAATATACTGATCTTGTATACGTTTGACTTTAAAGCAATCAAATTCATTCTATCACCAACGTTTATAAAATTTCTATCAATATTATAGATTCGAAAAAAGAACAAGTATTGACAAAAAAAGATAAAAGAAAAAAAAAGAAGAATCTAATGTGTATTTCATTAAAGAATTCAATAGAATTGTAAAAAAATATTAAAAAAAAGCACGAAAACATTGGAGCGTTTGGTTGGCATGTCCTGTCATCTTTCACCGAGTTTAATTTTCAGACTACGCGTGCACCTTCTTCCGTTGACAGTTCCTCTCTCATCGAATTAACAAACAAATTAATAACAATTAAATAAGCAATGAGCTGTTTGAATAGTTTCGAGCTAATGAGTTACATTTGAATCTTTCAGGACCATGACGGCGATTTGTTTCGTTTGTAATCTGCCGATCCTCAGTCACCAGGTCGGTCTGATATGGCAGGGCGGCAACGGTTGGGACGATCTCGTCCGCGAGCAAGTCGAGGAGTCTACCTTGAAGCAGCGACTGGGTATCAATCATTTTATAACATATTTATTTGTCCATATATGCATTTCAATACGGTCAAGTGAGCAGCCATTACGAATGACGAATCATTAAAGTCTTAACTTTCTCAAAGACTATAAATAAACACAATAAACTCAATAAACGCAAGTATCTTAAATATGTAAAATAACATTGAAATTATACTTGGGAGCAATTGCTTTTTAAAATGACTATTATTAAATCGATATTATAAATGGTATGCAACTGAAACGTGAAAGATACAAAATCCTACGGAGATATATATATATATATATATATATATATATATTATGTATTTTTTTTTAATAAATGTGACAAAATTTTTAGATAGTGACCATTTAAATTTCTTAGTTGCACAACTTTGAGAAGTATTGTGTATAATCTTTGCTCGACTAAAAAGTTCTTCCAACTTATTTCGCACTTTTCGCTCATCGATGATAAAGAAAGTGCCAGGAATCTCATAAAACATTTGTCACTCAGATTACAAAATTCAAAGAAATTTGCATAACCTGCGCGGCATTACATGGTATTCTATACGTGGTATTATGCTCATTTCATCTGCTGTAGCTTTTCCTTCTTTTCCCCATCAAACAGCTACTAAGTTAGCTTTAAAGTTCGAAATAGATAGTATCTAAAAAGTTTCTTAACTTTACTGACGTGAATACTTCTTGCCCCATTGTTCTTTATTTATAAACTACTGTTCGTTTTAAATTAAGCTAGTTGGATGGGCTTTAAAGTAAAATTTAGATAGAATGAATAGATATATGGAAAAAGAAGAATGAAAAAAAGAAAAAAAAACAAAAGATAGAAGAAAGATGAGATAAATTTATATTAAAATTATATTCAAAATTTAAAAGAAGATAACGAATTAAATATAATAATTAATAATGAAACTTAATATATATTTGACATATAATATCGTTGAATCAGTTTCTGAAATCAAATACAATTAGATATAATTATGCACTCATCTTTCATTGAAGTTGATTTATATACGAAATAAATAGAACTTATTTATGAAAGTCAGCTATTTCATAATAAACACGTACCTATAGTATAAAAAATAACTGTATTTACTAATTATTAATATTCAGTTCACGTATTAAATTAAAATAATAACGAATTATTATCAAGCACATAAATGAAAGCAAATCGAAAACATAATTGATACAACAAAGTTCATGTGTTGAAATAAATTGTACAATACAAGTTTTTATCTATAATATTTCAGAAAAACAAAAATCTATATTTTTATCTATATCTATATCTAAAGTGAAAAATATATAAAAATATAAAACTATTAAATAAAATTTACCTTACTATATTCTTACTCGTGTTGATTATTCTTATATTATTTAAATATACAATAATTTTCTTTAAACGGTGAGGTAAAATTGTCTATGCTAAGTAAAAATACATTTTGATTCAAGTTTCATAAAAGAGCGAAAAATAAAACAGCGCCTATTATTACGAATAACGCAATGTTGTGCAACTTCGTCAATTAAAGCAAAATAAATTAATGATATTTTCATATGGACACGGCTCGATGGTAAAAAGAAAAGAAAAATAAAGCAACAATTGATGAAGAGTGGCCGTTATTAATAATGGTCATTATTAATAAGCTTGGGATAGCGAAATAAGCTAATAATAAAAACTGGAAAGAAGCGACGACTGAATGACGTGTGCGAATTGATGACAGGGACAGGTCGCCGAGACTCTGCCGCCCAGATCTCGCCGCCAAACGAGATCCAGGAGCCGTCACCGATGGCTCAAGGCCGTCGACGGCGCTCGTCCTTGGCCCAACTGACGGACATCCTGCGGGAATGGGGTGGCGGTGGGAGCAGCGGAAGCAGCAGCGCCACCAAGACCGGCGGCAGCACCCGCGGCAACAAGCTGAGCCGGCGCGAGACTCTCGCCGACATTGCCAAGTCACTGCCCTGGTCCAGGCAGACCACCACCGACTCGACTCATCTCGCCTCTCTGAGGAAGAGGCGCGAAAGCTCCGTTGACAGCGGCATAAGGAGCCAAGTGTCGACAAAATCGCGCCGGGAGTCCGCCATCAATGATTTTAAGAATGACTTGGCCAGACTTTGGAGCAAAAAAGATGCCCAGCCTCAGCAACAGCCCCCACCTACTGTCCTCTCGCCCACACTGCGCAGAGGTTGTTCATATATATATACACACACACACACACACACACACACACACACACACACACACACACACACATATATATATATATATATATATACGCGCACACACGCACGCACACGCACACGCACACATATGTGTATATACTTATTTAGATTAGCGAATAGATATTCAGAACATCGATTGTCAATGTCCAATGTAACGATAAATTATGAAAACATTAATATTCATACGTTGGGGTATTTTAGATAACTCAAGGTGCAAACATCTCACTATTACAAAAATATATCTTTCCATTCTCACAATTCTTTAATCTGACAAATTGAAATTTTATTCATCTGAATAATTTGCGACCTACATTCGATAAATATCCTACAAATAACAAATCTTTCCGTACTTTAAGATAATATACAATTTGAAGTTTATTCTTTACGATAAATTATCCCATACTCTTTATAGGACTTTTAACAATACAAATTAAGATTTTAATTTATTGATAATAATAATGCTGTATATTCAACTCCTTATCTAACTCTTAATAATACGGTAATAATGCGAAATTATTGGCAATTGACTTTACGAAATCTTATTTTTCTATTTCAGATAGCTCTTGAATATTATCGTCATAGTAACAGAAAAATTAAATAGTATATATCAAAAAAAAAAAAAAAAAAAAAAAAAAAAAAAAAAAAAAAAGAAATCGTACAAAATCCAAGTATATTATTCCATACTCATAAAATGAAGAATTTTCTATATAATATGAAATGAATAATGAAAAAGAAATATAAGGAGAGACCCTTAGACGCTTTATTATCATAAATGTGGAATTTTTTTTTATCAAAATCTTTATTATTTCATAATCTTTATTACATATTTTCGACATCACAAATGTATTAAAGATAATCGTTACATTTGTTAATATTACGCGCAAAAAGGTGTAATTTCATTTCTTATTGAACCCGTCGATTTTTTTAGATTCTGTAAAATTTTTATTTTCGTTCCTATACACAAATAATTTGTACTTTTTTTGGAAATAATTTCGTTAGATTTTTAAAAAACTTTATTAAAATTGTACATTTTTAATGGCATTAATTTATCATTATATATATTTAATTTAAAAGCTTACGGGAATTATTGAAATAACTTGTTCCGTAATGATAAAATGATAAATGCTAAGGTTGGTTAATTTAAAAAAAAAATAAATAGGCTAGATGTATTAAATTATATACAGAATATCATTAAAAATTTCATTCCAAGTAATAATTAATACATTATAATTTTATTTATTTATTATCAATTAAAAATAATGTAAAATTCAAATTATATTAATTGTAAGTATTGAAAGGACTTAACAATGTATGAAATTAATTATTTATATTAAACTACTGAAGTTTTAGAAGCTAAAATATATTATAAATCTTTTTTTTTAATTTTCTGCCTCTCTCTCTCTCTCTCTCTCTCTCTCTCTCTGTCTGTATGTCTGTCTATTTGTCTTTTTGTATTGATTTCAACAAATATTTCACTTCATCATAATATAATACAAAATTAGAAATATATACGAATATAAAGGAAAAACTTAATAAAAGCGTGTCAATTAATAGTATGTAAACAACGTTAAAAATTACAGTATTAATTATGAATGGATTATCCTGAATGATAAATAATAAATTAATTAAAGAAGACGAATTTTATAAATTAAAATTTGCGACGAAATTTTAAAATAATATTGAAATAAAAATTAATCTTAAAATTATCCTTTATGTATAAATAGAATAAAATATATTATTTTATTCCTAGTAAACCTACTAACGGTGGCTTAAATACTCAGGAAACAAAAAACCGAAGATTAGTAGCAAATTTCAAAAGTAGCATCTGACGTATCAACTGAATAATCAACTTTTTTAATTTCTCTCCTTTTATAAAGTTTATCGGAATAGTTGTCAACATTTCTAATAAAAATCTTTCCTCCGCGTTGCATAATTTTTTTTTATAAATCGTCTCCCTATCCATCAATTTTTTGATATATTAGTTTCTTTGCTGGTGAATAAAGTTAGTATAGTCATTAAAGTATCGGCAACTGAAAACAAGAAAATCATTATTATACGAATAATATTGAATAAATGTTAACGTACATCATTTATGAGATTATATGTAATGTTTCTGTGCTAGAAATTCAAATTCTAAATAAATATTGACGAGTTTTTATTCATGACTTTAGCACAACGATTGTAATTTCCTTTTAAGTATAATTTTGAATCTAAAACAATCAGCATAAAATATCAGCTTGTCTTTCCTATGAAACATATATTAGTAGATTAATATATTGAATTTGTATCACTTCCATTTCAATAAAAAGTAGCAATTCTATTGTTTTTAAAACTAGTCGTGTTAATAATGAACATTCATTTTCAATAATATGCATGATACTTTAATTTCACATTTCACATGAATGCATTTCACGCGTTGATAAACCAAAGTGATCGTTTTGTATCAAACAAAAAGTATTTGCAAATAACTTTAACAAATTCTATGTTTTATCGATACTTTTACCATATCAATTAGTACGATTAGATTTATATATTAGAAGCTAGAATATTCAATGGACGAAAAATTTAATCGACCTGCTCATGTTAACTCATAGCACATTGAATCTTTTTCTCATCGAAACAATGTCCTTTACAGTTATAAAAGATTTTTATAAATTTTGTCTTTTATACATTGGATCCCTTCAAGCGCAATGTAGCTTCAGCTAAACGTGCCCTAAGTATTGTGCACTAAGCGAATAAATTTTCTAGGAGTCTGGTTTAATAAGCTTCCGTTGTAATTTCAGAAAATGATAAAGTAGGCATTTCAATTGAGTTTTTGAATCGAAAAAAAAAACAAAATTTGCCGCAGGATCTGGAGAGTCTAAGAACTCACGTCGCGGTTCCAGCGAGAGCTCAAGGTCAAGACGGGATTCGGTTTACGGACAGACGCCCAGCCCTGGGGAGCGGATCCATCATTGCCGACACTATAAGCGTCGACAATCCCAGCAGTCGGTCGAGCTAAACCAGGGTGGCGGTAACGCCGGTGCCAAGTACTATAGAAGCGACCAACGGCCAAGTGCATCGAGTACCGACAGTGCGACCAGTAATGCCGTCAGGTAAATTTTTCAGCTTCTCGACCCAATCGTCCGTCAATAGACTTGACCCGCTCAACAATTTCACAATTACCATTATTCGCGGTAAACCTTAGCAATTAGCATTAGCAATCGATAATACTTTCCTCCTTCGCGTTGTAACACACTCTCATTACCTATTGCTTATGACGTAACTCGTACAATATATATTTTGAGCGCCAAATGGATCGAGCGTTGTATTTTAAAGAAAGAGATTTTTTACGCAAGTTCGTCCAATGAAAATGTAAATCTTCCTATCAATTCAAGAATTTTCACGGGCATTAACTTTCGCCTTCAATGTTAATAATACTAGCTGCATTAAATAAAACTATGGCTATTATATTTGATAATTTAGCCACTGAAATTTCCTTACGATGCATTAACAATTTTACAAAAGGTCGATTAATAAATAATGATTGACTTTGAGTATAGAATTAATTTGAAAACACATTATCGTACAGTTCACATCAATTGTAATTTAATCTTCTTCTTCAATTACTTGATAACGAGTGGAGACAGTCGAGTTATACGGCAGAACACAAAAAAATTGCGACAAGCCATGACTCGATAAACTCGATCTCTAACAACAACCATTCAAGTCCCAATTGTTTTCCAGAGAGCACCTGGAGGCTCGCAAGTGCCACCACGAACGAGCCGGTAGTTTTGAATCCAAAGGGACTACAATGTCAACGATAGCCACGAGCACGAGCGACGTAAAGCACTTGACCCTCGAGCCGAATATCCAGCCACCAATGATCGTCATGTCATCGGTGACGCCGCCCCCGGTGTCCCCCATAGCCGTTAATAGCTTGCCTCTGCCGGGAACCTCGTTATCCGGTGGTTCCAGTCCAATAGGCGCGCCCAACATCGGCGGCACTCCACTCCATCCGCTCATCACCACAAGAAGGGATTCGACTACTCAGGTACACTTGCACTGCTGGTGTACGAGCCACGATGAGAGGAAGTCGTTAAACGTACAATAGTTGCACTATAATGGGGTTCGATAACAGGCTCTTGTGCAATAAAAAATGGAAAAAGTTGGATTTTTGTCAAGAAATTCTTTTTAAACTACGCGTTGTAAATAGTTTGTCGTTTAAAAATACTCATCTTATTCAAAGTTATCATAATATGGTCTGTCCAACAAATATCTAAAAGCACTGAGTATATGATAAATACATCTAACCTATAAATATAATTATTTAAAATATGCCCGTTTATGTTAATCTATAAAAGGATTTTACGCTATAGAAATTTAAAAATAAGTTGTCTTAAAATCTTCAGTACATCTATTTCAATTGTGATTTCAATTGTGAAATTTGATTTAAAAAAAAAAAAAAAAAAAAAAAAAAAAAAAAAATCTTATCCTATTCCTTATCTATATAAATTGCAATAAAACAAAATCTACTAAGTTTATTATTCACTCATTTTTACGCGTAAATCAATTTAATAATAATCATGTAAACACGATTTATCTTTTATTGCAAGAGTGAAAATTTATATATTTTATATTGCATAAATTACATTTATCTTTATTATGAATTTATTAGTCAAATTTAAATTTATTCTCATAGAATATAATAATCCTTATTGCTAAATATGTTTAATCTCGCTTCAAAACATATGGATAATTAATTGGAAAAATATGAATGCAGCGTAAAAACCTTGTGGAAATAGCAATAATTAACATTATTATGATAAAATACTAAAAGCAGTAGTATAATTGAAAGTTACCACGGATGAATTAAAATATTGCAAATGAAATTGTATTCGTTCTAAAATTTCAGAAGAATTTTTTGGAAATTTTTAAAATTAGAGTATACGTAATACGAGTAAAATAGTAAAAAAAAAAATTTGTCGATAAAAATTACACTTACAGTATTCATTGATAAAATTGAAACAATTTTGACAACTTGCAGTGTTATTACAAAACAAAGGAAACATCGCCAAATAAACTAAGATTAACGAGACAAGCAACAGCGATAGACGAATCATTGCCACCACCAGGTCGCCGGGGAAGCCAACCAACTTTATCACCAGATCCCGATGACGGAGGTTCGTTCATTACACTTTAAATTCGATAAACTTTTATATTAATATACTGATTGAGCCATATCTAGCTATATATTTAATTGTTATATATTTGTGAAAATATACAATTTTTGCAGGTCGCAAAGCAAGAAGAGATTCCCTTAGTCCCGATTCAGCTTCTTACCCGAGACGTCGGGATTCCAGAAGTCACTTAAGTCCCGATAGGAATACCGTAGATAAAAGAGATATAAGTCCTATAAGGTCGAGGAAGGGGAGGCTAAAAAGACAATCTACGTCAATAGCGGGACGACCACCTAGGTGATGTTGCATTCTTTGTCTTTTTTTCGTTTTTTATTTATTTATTTATTTATTTATTTATTTATTTATTTATTTATTTATTTATTTATTTATTTATTTATTTATTTATTTATTTATTTATTTATTTATTTATTTATTTATTTATTTATTTATTTATTTATTTATTTATTTATTTATTTATTTATTTATTTATTTATTTATTTATTTATTTATTTATTTATTTATTTATTTATTTATTTATTTATTTATTTATTTATTTATTTATTTATTTATTTATTTATTTATTTATTTATTTATTTATTTATTTATTTATTTATTTATTTATTTATTTATTTATTTATTTATTTATTTATTTATTTATTTATTTATTTATTTATTTATTTATTTATTTATTTATTTATTTATTTATTTATTTATTTATTTATTTATTTATTTATTTATTTATTTATTTATTTATTTATTTATTTATTTATTTATTTATTTATTTATTTATTTATTTATTTATTTATTTATTTATTTATTTATTTATTTATTTATTTATTTATTTATTTTTATTTTTGGTTTCCTAATATATCAACATACTAAGTTAATGCTTGTCCAAATAATAAAACCGATTATATGCAATTATTCTCTCGAGCGATTTATAATGATTTATTATTTATAGATCTCCCGATAGCTCATCATGCTCATCAAGGGATCCTAGTCCGTGTGGTCGTCTTCCTGGAAGTACGCAACATGCACCTGTGATAAGAAGACAATCAACGACGGAAGAAATTTTAATAGCACGTGGATTTCGGCGTCAAAGTACAACTGAAGAGATGATACGTTGTCGAAACTTTAGAAGGCAAAGTTCACAAAGCGACGACCAGGTACTTAGAGTAAATGTCCCAATTATTGCCAAATGAAGGACAATGGCAATTTTACTATTTTATGCTATACTTCTTTTTTTTCTTTACAATATATATTTGTAAACACGTTTTTTTTTTTAAACTATTATCGTTATTACGATCATCATCATTATTATTATTTTCATTATCATCGTTGTTACTTTATACGTAATCTAATTATTTACTTGCTCACTATATTGTATTTATATTTTACTAATTTAACATTATAAAGCCAATTCGTTGCCTCTTTATATATTCAGTTCAAATTCAATTAGAATGTGTTTGCTTAGAAACGAACAATTTATGCTAACTTACGGTAGAACTTTGATGATTTTTCAAATAATATTTCATGTAAATAGTACAGAATTATATTTTACCTATTTCTTTCTTAAGTTTATTAAATTCCTACCTCATTAAATTCATTCATTTTTTTTTTTTTTTTTTTTTTTTTTTTTTTTTTTTTTTTTTTTTTTTTTTTTTTTTTTTTTTTTTTTTATTAAAAATTAAAACAAAATTATACCTACGTAACTATACTTAATAATCTTTATACCAATTCATATTGATATTTTTACGAAAAATTATAACCAGACATTTCATTCCAAATTATTTATCATTTGTAGGTACAAAGATATCGAGGGAGACGAGACAGTTCAGCTCAAATAACCGATGGGACTTTTGCATCCATGACCATTGAAACATCAAGTACCTTTTTTGACACAAGTACACAAACGGGTTAGTTTTTTTTAATCTTTGACATATCCCATTAACGGATAGTGGCTTAAAATTATCCAATCTTTATTCCATAATTTATATAAAGTGGAGACATAATATGTAAAATAATAATCATATTTGTAAAAATATGATGGTATTTTAGTAGATCGATAATGAAATGGATTTGAGGCAACAAACATCGTTCACATTAATGTGAATTACTGTGATATTAGTGGCCTCTCGATGAATATATTTAGATTGTTTTATTATTGCAGTGTTGCAGAAGAAATTTGGAAAATATTTTCAATTCTTTAATTTTCAATTAAGTAAAACATGGGCTATTATAATCAAACACCAAATTACTCGATTTTTATTCAATATAAACGTTGAATGATTATAGATATTGATATGATTATGCAATTATTTAGGAATTTATCAGACTTTAAATTAGAATAACCAAGTATTGGAGTTCTCCCATGGTCGTGAATAATACAAATTCTCATTTAATATACAAGTGTCAAGAAATTGCAACTGACACTTTAAAGATATCGAGATAAGCAATGGGCAAGTGTTCGAACAGAGAAAATTCAACTCTCGCGCTGCTTTTATCACGTTCAACATAAACATCCCATTCACCATTCCCCTACACGGTCAACCCTCCACTCACCTCGCGCTTGCGCTTCAACTTTATTTATACTTCACCCGGGCGCTCGCGAGATAGCGCCTCCACCTCACCGTTGATAACATGGTAATAGTAGCAGCAGTAGCAGTAGCAGCAGACGACGACGACTATCGTTCACTCGTAATCAAAGAGAGTACGATCGCGTTTGCCCCACGTATATACGTGTGCGTTGTCGCGTACGGGACAGCCAGCATACATAGCATTAGCGCGCGCCCTCTCTTCCCCCCCTCTCTATCTCTCTCTATCTCTATCTATCTATCTATCTATCTATCTCTCTATCTATCTCCTTCAGTCTCATCCACTCCCTCCTTTCTTACCTCTCTCCTTCTCGCACCCTTACTCGCCCTTATCCTGCCTCTCTTGTCTCTTCCTCCATCCTCTCTCCTCCTTTGTCACTCTCTTACTTCGCCACGCGTCTTTTCGTTACCTCGCATCCGTCCGAAGTGGAGACTTCCCCGGAGATTTACGCGAGTCGAGAATGAAGGAGAAGGAGGAGGAAAAAAAGGAGCAGTACCGCCCTGGGGATCCGACCAACGGCGCTAATCGTCAGGTCGATCAAAGGCTAGCAGTTGTAGCAGCCAAGATTAATTAGGTGAGCCGTCCATTAAAACAGTAATTAAACGAAAGAAGAAAAAAAAGAAAGAAAATAAAAAGGAAATTATGTAAAGTCTGTCAAGGCTCCACCACATAAGAACGCTAAAACATTTGTTTTTCCCTTATATACCATCAACTCTTGCGCGTCTACGTTACACATGTGTGTTCACATTGTAAAAAGGTTATATCGATAGACTTAAATAAGTTTGGTTGCTAAACTAGATTGCGCGTTTACTTAGCGGGAAAAGTCATTACTAACGTCACTTCGAATCTGTCACCCTATCCTGTGCACATATCCACTTACTTAGGAGCATGCGACATTCTAAGCGGCCCCTTATGACGAAAAATCCAGTGCAGAGAAGCGTGTGAATGGATGTATTATCGGCGATGTGAGGCGAGCAACGATCGATCGTGAGAACACGGCAGAGAGCGAGCAAACGGAGGGAAAAGAAAGATAGGGAGAGTGCGAGGGGGAAAGCGAGTCGAAGCTTTAAGTCCGAGGGTCCTAGAAGAAGGCCACGGTAAAGCCGTGACGTAGATACAGGGACAACAGAAGCACGCGTACTAATCGTAATAGCAAGTGCAGGCGATTCGCGTGCCAATCGAGCGTTAAAAGCATCGCGCTGCCGCCACCGCCGACGCGTCCCACCTATTCGAGGACACAACCACTTGTGGAAGTAGAGAAAGGACGAGCCCGGTCGGACGTTGCCGGCACACTCCACCAATCTAATCTATCGCGTGTCGACTAGCAATTCCTCCACGCTTTTATCGTGATTCGCGGTCGCCCAAGGATATGGCTTAGTGAGGCTGCTGCGAGGGGATTTGGCTCGATATTTCATTCATTAGGAGGACGGAGAGAGTCGGGTATGAGGGAAGTAAAGAGACGGTCGAGCAATACCATGACTTGCCGCTCGAGACGTAGCATTATCAGTTAGCGAGAATATTTTATAGAATATTCGTGCTTTAACTACGATGTATGGCGAGACACGACGCAATGCGTTCCAAAGATATTATCTCTATAACGTGCACGTATTAAATATGTCCGTTACAAGATTTTTCGTTCATATTTAATCATTATTCCACACACACGAGCGCGCGCACGCACACACACACACAAACAAGCAAACCCTGTATACATGTGTATATGGTTATTGTTAAATATTACAGGAAAAATTATTTTAATGCTTAATAACCTTTCTATTTGCTAACAATTAAATGTATGTAAATATTCACTTTGTCATTTGCTTTTAATTTTTATGAATATCAAATATTTATACGCAAAATTTATTGCTCACACACATTATAAATATTGAAATATTTAATACAGATTAGTATCTTTCAAAATTTCATTCGTATTGTATAATATATTTTTGTAAATGAAAGAACGAATCGATATTAGTGTGATTATTTGTATTAAGAAACATTTTATTTAATATTGCCTGCAAATATTATCCTCGGTCTTTGAAAATCTTTAATTATTTTATACTTTAATTTTACACTTCCCACTTCATTAAATGTTCACAATGATTTCCAGTAATTAATTTTATACTAAACGCAAAACAAACACAATTTGTTTAATACTAATTTAAGTATTGATGGTAAAACTAAGTAGAAAATTCAAACTCCTTTAATTAAAATTTATAAATCCTTTTTCCGTTTATCGCTAAATATTCCAGCAAATAAAAAGTTATCCTTCAAAAATATGAGGAACTCTAAGTCGCGCAATCTCGGAAGCAAAAAAACAGTAATTTATTTTTCCACGTACCTGAGTCAATAAATCGTATTGAAAGGACAACTTTGCCACAAACTTTCATCTCTTCCTCTTTCGAAGTTCGAACTATAAAGGTACATGTGTGACGACACCGATTAAGCCTCTTTGGATTATCATAAATCCTTGAAAGAAACATTGCTATTCATAAAAAAAAAAAAAAATAAATAAAATAAATTAATGACAGTGCGTATATAAATCGATAAACATATACGATAACATCATATTTTATTATCTAAAACAAAATTAAAGGATCGCCTCTTTATAATACTAATTAAATCATCGTTATATTCAAATTCATTTATCATTCCATATCTTTTCCATTTCAATGTATACACATTTTGGTAAATAACATTAATCAAATATATATAAAATGAAATATTACAAAGTATTATAGTACATTTCCTAATTACTCATATTTTGTTCAATTTATCTCTCTTCATTTTCACATCCCTACCTTACAATTTCATTTAAATCTGCATTTTCTTATTTATCCTTTCATCTCGTAAACATACTCGATTTTTTTATCACTCGCACAAAAGCAATGAAACATTTCTCCTGGATATCCTTTTATACTTTCATTATTTTCTTGCTTACCCAGACTTTCCCATTTATGTGCATCTTACGTGTCTTATGGCATGTGCTCATGCTTTAAGAAATGTTACTTCCTATTCTTAAAATGCTTAAGTGACGAGAAATAATTTTTATACTATTTTTACTTAAATAAAATTAACAGAATTAATAGAACATACTAAAGTAGAATATACTGAAATTAGTCAACTTATCTATATTCCACTGAAATTACACTTCATAGATAAAGTCTAGAAATACTTCGAAGCCAAAATGAATATAACTTTATAAAGTGAGTATTGAAATTGCAATATTTTTTATGTTATACACAACTTGTACTTCAATAATGTTTGATGTTATTGATTGGCTGCCGTTATGTAACATACTGCAACCATTATGTATTGAGAATATCAAAGATTTGTTTATTATAATCGAAAGTATAATCAATATTTAAATATGATTTTTCTAAATCATAAATATTATCAATTTTTATATGCACACACACACAGACACACACACACACACGCGCGCGCGCGCGCGCGTATATATATATATATAAACTTCACTTTCTGTAACTACATTTATTTTGTGTGTGTGTGTGTGTGTGCGTGCGTGCGTGCGTGCATGTGCGTGCGCGTGTGTAGTTAAATATACTTCATATGTTCAGACATCTACTGAATTACACTGACTAACAATTACAATAAAAATTTTAATTTCAAAATTACGCTACACTTTCACATTAGTATTTTTGATAATCATCAATAATTATATGATAATACGTGCTACGCTGTTTTAGTTTTCAATTTTACAAAAGGCTTAAAAACATTAATTTTTCCCTAATAAATAATGTTTTGAAAATTTCATTAGATATAACTCGATATTTGATAATCGAATAATAACAACAATTTGAGAGAAAATAAAATAAAATAAAGCAAATTTAAATGAAATACACAAAAATAATAAGAGACAGATAAACGGTCTGAGATAATCTAGTTGAAATTTATATGAATATTTAAAAATGCAATATATGTTATATTACGAATGATTACGCCACATTTTTCAACTACTCTCTATTTTTTACATAAATATTTCACCTAAATAGTTGCATTTATTCATGAAAAAATACACACAACAATTTAATATTGTAAATAAAATCTTTTATTTCAATCTATTATAAATTTATTTGTAATATCGAATAACAGGAAAACTAATTTTTAAATTATGGATTTGAATTTCTCTTATAAGAATGTTATTTTTTGGTTAATTACTTTTAAAAATTACAATTAAATTATCAAAAATATTAAATACTTTTAATTGCAATATAGATTCTAGTAGTAAATTTTTTTTTAAATAAAAATGATTTACATAGCTACAAGTATTTCTTAGGATATTTATGTAATCTAATCT